TATTATGGTATTGTGTTTTTCTTCATAGCACAGATTTGTCTTCAAAGCTATCAGATGTAGATTGTCTGTACTGGCCTTCTGGATGAAAGCACAGGGCACTCCTGACACCACAAGTGATTTTGGGATCAGGGACGTGGTAGAGAGCTGGTCCAGGGAAAGGGGTTCTACTGCTGATTCTCATTGGCCATTATCATGAGCCATTTTGAGAAGATTAGCTAAGGCTTGGGTGGCTATTTGCAAGACTGTTGAAGGCTTTGTTGTTCCATGTAGCAGCCTTGACTGACTTTTTAGAGGATCTATGAATTGATAAGTTGTTGGTTTCTTCCAAGAATGATAAGTCTGGTAAGGCACTGCATCTATGTGACTTGTTATTTCATGAAGGGTTTGTTTTCCTCACTGTTAGATCATTCAAGATGAACCAATGTTATAAAGGAACCCAACTGATGTTTTGTCCTTCTGGTGAGACTGAGCTCTGCCTGGTCAGGGCCCTTCACAATTATTTGCAGGTCAAAGGTGAGAGGCCTGGCCCTTTGTTGTTCATTCTGATTTTTCGCCACTTACTAAACAGCAATTTTGGGCTGTCACTTCTAAGACTCTCTCTGCCCTGGGCCTGGACAACTTTAAATTTGCTACTCATTGTTTTCATATAGGTGCAGTGTCCACTGCTGCTGGTGGTGGTTTGATGTGGCTGCTATCTAATGTATTGGGCATTTGAGGTCCTCTGCTTACCGACTTATGTCTATTTACCTCATCCTGGCATTGTTTTTGTGTGGCTCAAGCTCTACAGAGTGGATGGCGTCCATCTTTCTGACCTTGTAAATGACCTTTTCTTGGGAGATCTGCAAAGTGGTATTAGGGAAGTTCTTTTTGGCCTGGTGGGGGATGGGAGCTAAGCAAATACTTGCCCCTTATCTGTGACAGATAATGGGGAGATTTAGATTACAGCAAGCACCTAGGTCACCATTTTCATGGAAGGGAGGTCACTTGAACCACTTCTTTTGGTCTACGGACTGGGAAGGTGGTGAAAGGGGCTTCATTTGAGGTTGGCCTGAAGGATAAACCCTCTTGTTAAGTCTTGGGGCTTGAGAAAGGGACTTTCGGATTGGCTTTCCTGATGCAGGTCAGCCACGGATTAACCCAATGAGTAGATTATCCTTGGGACTCAGGTGTCATCACCCTGAGATAGCTGCAGAGGAGGTCTATGGAAAAGACCACCTGCTTTAGCTGCTCCCACACTAGTTGCAGTTTTTCCAAGAAATATTAAATAGGTAACTTAATAAAGTGGTCCTTTTGAAACCCATTTACTGTGCCTGGTCTCTTTATTCAATGGTTGGTCTGCAAATATTTTTATACAAAAATATGAGAACTATCACAAAATTCTTAGAGCTATGATTACAAATGATAACTACATTGCAGTTTTCATATTGGTTCAGGAAGTGTGAATTAAGTAGAATAAATTAAAATTTCTGTTCCATCTCTTACAGCAACATTAATATCACAGTCATTCAAGTATAGGGTGAGTTCTTTCATTCTATTCTTGGCTGCTGTGCATGAAATCAGAGTGTCACCTTGCAATTAGCTGGATATGACCTTAAACAGGGGCTTTAGGAAGTCCAAGAGACTGTTCAAATATACCATACAACTACTTTGGCCCATTTTAGAATAAAAATCTCGGAGACAGTGAAGCAGTCTCACTTCACTGCAGTGGCAGCTGGCACCCACTAAGGGCCTTTACAGACTCCCAGAAATAGTGCAACTTGAAGCTACTTTAACTGCCCTGGCTCAGTGCTAAGGAATCATGGGAACTGTACCAGAGCTCTCTGACAGAGAAGGCTCAATATCCCCCCAAAAAATACTATTCCCATGATTCCTTAGCACTGAGCCAAGACAGTTAAAGTGGCCTCAAGCTGCACTATTTCTGACAATCTGTAAAGGCCCTAAGTCTGGTTTCACAGATGGCAAGCAATAAGCAGAGCTAATAGGTCATCAAAGATAAAATCAAACAGATGTAATATTCTGTTTTCTACCATTCTCCAATCTTGTTTTGAGATGTTAACACACTTTAAATTAAACATTCCATAGCTATGAGTATTTTTCTTAATTTCTACAGAACTTTGCTAATACAGAACAAATGTTGCAAATCAACAGTTTGCAGTCAAGAAGCAAAATGTCATTGTGTATGCATTGTGCAGATTTTTAAACACATATATGCAATTTTCTTCCCCTTAACCATGTTTAGTGAAAGCGCTAACAGAAAAATAAGACATCTCTAGGAGTAGCCGGCTTGTCCACTCAGTAAGTGGAAGTACCATAGCACATCTAGCAAAACCTATGGGCTCTGTTTAACAGTAAGGAGAACAGTCTAGGAGAAATTGAGCCCTTGCTAGTAAAGAACAAAAAGAACCAGTATAAAGAAAAGTGTTTATTAGTTTGCAGGACAGCCTAGCACAAACCACCCTAATCTCTAATTTTAAATGCCCTGATTTTTATTTATAGGGAAGTTGTTCAGATAATTTTTGATGCTTTAACATTCACTTTGAAGAGAAAAATTGAACTCCTGACAAAAAATGTAATACCAAAATAGCCAACATTAATTGTCAGGATCAGAAGGGTATGTTAGAAAACCATTGTTTCAGTATGCAGCTATTAAAATACTGAAAGCAAGATCAGGGTTTGTGTGAATCATCTCACTAATAACAAGCTTTCTATGTCCAATCCAATGAATATTGTTGGTCTGTTTACAGTGCAAGACAGCTATGGCAGGAGAAGCATAATCCCAGCAGATTTACTCAGAAGTAAACTCACCATTGTGGCATAGTGGTTTGAGTGTTAAAATATGACTCTGGAGACCAGGGTTCAATTCCCGGCTGGGCCATGGAAACCCAGTGGGTGACCCTGGGCAAATCACATGCTCTCAGTCTCAGAGGAAGACAAAGGCAAACCCCCTTTGAATAAATCTTGCCAGGAAAATCCTATGATAGGTTCACCTTAGGGTCACCATAAATCAGAAATGATTTCAAGGCCCACAACACACAAAATCAACATTGGAAAGCTCATGTCAGCAGTCTCTCTCAACTGTACCAACCTTCTTCCATAGCACCTCAGATGTCCTCAGCACATCACCACCACTGACCCTGGCTCTCAACTTAAAAGTAGCCCTTGAAGCATCTTGCCTGTTTTCCTAGCTACTTTTCTAGGTCTCTGTTATGCATCAGTGTCAAGAGAAACAGGATATCTTTCTCTCTCTCTCTGACACACATATACAGGGAAAAAGAGAGAGAGTGTATGTCTATTTGCTACTGTTGTGCCCCAAAGGCAAGACAAGTAAAACAGACTCATAAACTAAATAAATGAATCTCAATGCAGAACTCTAGGGGCCCTTTCACACTACACAATTATAGCACTCTGATTCCCCTTAGCTGCCATTGCAATATTGTATCAAACCATGGGAATTATAGTCTGGTAAGGGACTAGATAAACTTTCTTCCAAAATTGCAAATCGCAGGATTCCATGGCAGTTAAAGTGGAATCATAGTGCTATATTTTGTAGTGTGAAAGACCAGCAGTTAGCTGATTTTCTGAGCATATGTATGACCCCCATAGCAAATGAATAAATATTGGCATCAGCAGGAGACTAGTGTCTAAACTGAGGGAAGTAAACAATGCCTCTCTACTCTGCTTGAATACTGTATCTAATTCTGGGCATCACAGTTCAAGAAGGATATTGATAAGACAGAACGATCCAGATGAGACAAACCAAGATGGTAAGAGATTTAGAAAACAAAGACCTATGATGAATAGTTTAGGAAACTGGGTATGTTTACTTTGGAGAAGAGAAGACTATGAGGGCCATCTTTAAATATTTGAAGAGGAGTAATGTAGAAGATGCAGAATGCTTTTTTTTCCCCGTTGATCCAGACACTGGAATACAAACAAATGGATTCAAATTACAATAAAAGAGAGTCTACTTAAACATTAGGAAGAACTTCCTTTTTTTTAATTTAATTTTTTTTATTTTTAAAATATCCACAAATTAATATACACATTCACATACAGATATAATTATATGATCATCCATCCCACACATCCGTCCCCTCCTCTCCCCATCTTCCCATGAATGCCACTAGCATTAAACCAATAGACTTTCTAAACTGTAATCCATCCCTATTATTGTTTTTACATTTTGAATGTCCAAATAAGGGTGATGCCACCAAAACAGCCTTGATTCCCAGTATAGTCACAATAATAATAATAATAATAATAATAATAATAATAATAATAATAATAATAATAATTTTATTTATATCCCGCCCCTCTGCCAAGCAATCGGGGCGGCGTACAATATTCATAACAACAAAACAAATAACATCAAAACAAATAAATAACATCGATCAAATCCCATCCCTCCTTCCCACCCACCCCAGCCCCACCCCTCAAAAACAAATCAAATAAACAATATAAAAACAATTGTTAAAGATATACAAAATACAATATAAAATACAGCTTAAATACATATTTGCATTGTTGCTGGGAAAGATGTTGCTAGGGAAGGGTTTTAAACTCTTCCCGGTATCTCCAGCCGCATTCTAACCACCGGTGAGTTAGTGGGAAAGGTGTTTATCCCTAACAGCCGCGGGAGCGGGGCGGCTCAGGCCGCTCAGCTGGTCTTCCTGGCTGCATGAGGGAGCAGTCCTCCGCAGCCTCTGGAGCACTGCCTCTCGCCGCATGGAGCCATTAAGCTAGGTCTTAACCATAAGCAAAAAAAATAAAATAAAATAACCCACTTCTCTCCTAATCATTCACTTCCTTTGCCCCCAGTCATCTGGCTCTATACTTCTCATTTCTTCTTCCATCTTCATCCTCTCTTAATTTCCTTTCCTTTCTAGCTTCCCTACTCTCCTTTCATTACTCTTTCTTCCTCTTCCGCACACCTCCCATACTACATTATCTTACCCTCTTCCACTTTCTAACACTTTCTGATACTATCTAATTTCATCCACACCCTGACATTCTTTCCCTTCCTAGCATTCATTCCTGTACTTCCTTCTTGTCTTTGCTGGATTATCTGGTATTGTATATGACTTTCTTGTTCTAGTCTATTCTACTCTATTATAGTCCATCTTTCTTTTATGTTTCCTTTCTATATTCTAATTCCTTTGTGTTTTCATTCCATCTTTCCAGTCATAATTCTATATATTATAAACTATCTACTGAATGCTTGTAGAATTTTTCTACCATATATTTCAAGTTTATAATATTATCTACCTTAATATAGCTCTAACTACTATTTTTTGTTATTCTAACTTTATGCTTAATTTAATTTTTTATCTCCTATCATAATATTAAGTCTTCAATCCTAATACTGATTTTCCTTTGTATTATGTCCTTCTCCTGAATGTCCATACTTCTTTACTTCATTCTCGCTACCTTCCTTCTAATGTTCTAAAATCATCTGTATTACTTTTGCTCTATTGCTTTTTCTTGTTTCCCTTTATCTATAGGGTTTTTTTCCCCATTTTTTTCTTTTCCATCCTCTCCCCCATCTTAATAGCCCATTACTGCTAGGTTTCCCCACAGTTTTTCAAAATATTTCAAAACCGGTTTCCAATTATCCTTTATATTTCCTTTTACATCATTTCTTAGAAATTGTGTTAGTGTGTCCATCTCAATTGTGTCATATAGTTTAATTATCCAATCTCTTATACTTGGACTGCTTTTTAATTTCCATTTTTGCAATAATGTCAATCTTGCCATTGTAATTAAATAAAGAAGAATTTTTCCAAATTCTTTGTCTAATTCTTTGTTCCACATATTCAGCAAATAAATCTCTGGGTGAATCTGTAATTTTATCTGTAATTTTATAACATTAGGAAGAACTGTTTAACTGTAAAAGCCATTAGCAGTATTTTTTTTTTTTTTTTTGTATACTTGTATACATCTTGTCCTGAGAAAATGCAGATTGTCGTGCTGATCCATATTGGGTTTGTTGTTTCCATTTTGTTTTGGGTTTGTGAATTTCTTTGAGTCATTGTAACCCATTTTGTTATTCACACATGCCATCATTTTGGGATAAATGGAGCTGCCTCCCATTCCACATACAGAGTGACCCGAATTGATTTGGAAGCTTATTCACACTGTCAAATATGTGGATCATTCAGGAATATTGGGGGGGACGGACCAGTATTGAATATTCCAGGTTAAGTGGAAAGGGGGGTTGCCAGCCCTCCCCAAAAGTGTGTTTGGTGCATTTGGGATGTGTGTAAACAAGAAGGATTCAACCCAGATTCATCCTAGATTATTTTCATAGTTTGAATAGGGCCTAAGTAATAAGGCAAACAGGATTGGATTAGATTGGATTGGATTGGATTGGATGGAAGAGTAAATTGAGCCTGGGGGGAGGGGAAGGCTGTGCCCTACTTGCAGTAAAATATTATCATTATCTATATCATCTAGACCTTATCACTCTTTGTTGGGTGAATTTTTCTGGACAAGGGGAAAAATTGCAATGAGAATGTGACCCTTGTTCTTTGAGATGTGGTTAGTGAAATTACACATTAATGCCTGTTGTAAATGTGGAGCTGAAATGAGTCTAATTTTTAAAAATCCTGGATAGCCCATGCATGTCTGCAACTATTATATTATATATGGATCCATTTTATCAATATCTACTTGATGCGAGTAACGAAGTGAGAATTGCAGAGACAGGAGGCCAGTTTTGGAGCCTGAAGATCTCACAAGAATTGGGAAATCTAAGAAAGTTTTCTGCTTCCAGTTTCCAAACTGGATTACAATTGGTTTCAAAATTTTCAATCATTAGAAGGCACAGCCTGATTATATGCTTTCAGATATTGGACCAAAGTGGTATATTCAAATATTTCTGCAGGTTATGTATACCTTCTACAGAAAGATGTTTATACTAGTTCTTGGTTTAAAACCTTTCCTACTAAACTGCATTTATTAGGTCTGTCTATGGGGTTTCTTTATGCCCATGAGCTCAAGGCATTTAGTTTCATTTTAGAAAATCGGATTAAGGACATAGATCTTCAATATTCCTTATCAAATGCCAGTAAAACCTGCTCACCTCTACATTTTGGCTTGAATTTTGAATTACTGAAAAGTGCTAGGTATTTGGAAAATTTTACTATTCCAAAATATTGACAGATTTTTTTGAGAGCCAGGTTTTATTGCCTACCATCTGCAGTTTTAGATGGGCACTATCATGGTGTGGTATATGAGGATAGACTATGTCCCTGTAATGAAGAAGAAATTGAATCTATTGAGCATGTTTTCATTACATGTAACTTTTATAGGGATGAGTGTAACAAACTCCTTGGTCCTGTAATGAACAACTTTACTCAGTGCAAGACAGCTATGGCAGGACCTTGGACTGGCACTTAAAGCATCTCCAACAGGATACAAACAAGTCCATTACAGAGATAGCTAAGTTTCTTTTTTCTGCACAAAGAATGCAAAAGTCAATTCTTTCCCCTGTTCCATAAAATTAATTTGGTTTTTAAGGTATATTCTGTAAATTTTAAATGTTTTAAACTCTTTTTATTTGTTTTATGCATTTTAATGGGTCTGTGACCTCATAATAAAATATTATTATTATTTATTAAAATTTCCAAAGGGATTATGTGAATTTACTCATCCTCATTCTGAATCAGTTTGTCTCTCCTCAAAGCATAGTCATCTCCTCCTCCTGAAAACTTATGATACAAAAGCACTGTTGAAAATGAGCCTATATGAACAATAAGATGTTTAGCACAGAGAGAAAGAAAAAATTGTCCATTTCCCCCAAGATTTAGAGCAAAGTGGCTTCAACTATATTACATTTTGAATGCCATGCCATGCTTTCTTCCATGGTGAGATGGT